GACCAGCCTGGGCTACATAGTGAGTTCCAGGTCAGTCTCAACTGCATAGTGAGACCCTGTCTAAAAAAAAAAAAAAAAAAAAAAAAAAAAAGCAAAAAAAAACAAAAGCAGTAGCACTCTGAGTCACTTGAAAGATAAAGAAATCATGTCACGTGTTTTCTTATAGGGTTACTTCCCTGCATTAGGAAACCATGCGTTATGACAGAGAAAGAAAGGGAATCATGGAGCAACCCGAACTTCCTCTTCTTTCAGTTCCTCTTTACTCCCCAGTACGCCAAAGGTGGAGCTTGTTTTATTGATTTATGTTTATTTGTATCAGTCGGTGTTTGCAGTATGTAACGATTGCACTTATCATGGGGAGCTAGCGCCCGTGCAGGACCCATCTCCAGTCCTTTCACCTCTTCCCTTCTTCCCCACCCCACGCGGTGATTGACGAGGTACTGACTGAGAAGTTAAATAAAAACTGTTGTTAGTTTTGGGGAGCATTGTCAACTAATGGAAGAATTAAGTAAATATGCGTGTTCCAGCCACAGAATAGACAGTATGGAAGTTCCGTGATTCGTCACGTGAGTTAAATGTTCGTATTTTTGTATTTAAAGCTACTATTTCACAGTATTATGAGTGGTAAAAACTCATGCTAATATTTAAATTTTGGCTTTTTCTTTATGCAGAACATTAAACAGGATTATTTTTAAAAAAACAAGACAAATCAAGACAGAGGGGAGAGGGCCGGGGATTTAGCTCAGTGTCACCGTGCCTGCCTGGCAAGCACAAGGTCCTGAGCTCAATACCCAGTACCAAAAACAAACAAACAAGAGAGATGGGAGAAAGAGGAAAAGGGAGACATCTTTGTATTTGAGTACTTTTTCGTTGTTGTTGTTACTGGGATTCGAATTCAGGATCTTGCACTTGTGGGGGCAGGCAGCAGAACCCCTGAGCTAAATTTGAGTACCTTTAAGGGTACTTTCCCTTAGCTTTTGGAGAAAGGTCCTGGTATTTTCATTTTGCAGTGGGTTCCACACACTGTGTATCCAGTGTTTCTTCCGTCTGGCTCCTTCTGAACATCAACTCAGAAGAAATCCGTTTGTATTTCCTTCCAGACAGATTTTTTTTTTTTCATTTTTTTGGTGCCCAGGATGGAACTCAGGTCCTCGCGCTTGTGAGGCAGGTGGCAGAACCACTGAGATAAATCCCTGGCCCTCCAGAGATTTTCTGTGCCCTCTTTATTGTCTTAACCTGAAGTTGCCCAACCCTCCATGGGTAATCACTGGGGTAAAAAAAAAAAATCTCCCTTTGCCAGTTTAAGCAGATATTATTTGTTATAGTAGTTTTTAGTAGTTTTGTCAATACATATGAGAAAGTCCAGCTGGGTGTCGTGGCACACGCCTATAATCCTAACACTCTGAGAGGCTGAAACAGGAGGATCACAAGTTCAAATTCAGCCTGGGCAATGTAGCAAGACCTTGTCTTAAAATAAGAGACGATGAAGGTCTGGGGACGTAGTTCATTAGAAAGGCTCTGGCTTCTATCCTCAGTTCTGGGAAGGAAAGAGGGAGAGAGGGAGAGAGAAGAATCTTCCATGCCCAAGGAGTTATGAGCTAGACATTCCTGGTTCCCAAAGACTTACTGTCCCCTTCCTTCCAGTTCACCCCTGCATCTCTGTTCACTTCACGCTGGAGTGTGAGAGTCCAAGACACGGGTTGTGTCTTCCTTTTTATTATCCCAGCAGTTAGCACAGTGCCCATAGTAAGGGCTCAAACCATCTAGGTCAACTGAAGGAAGAAATAAGCAGGGGACACATGGGTAACAGAAATGACTGGGACGGAAGCAAAGAAAAGCAACCAACTGGCCCAGACTCTGGATTGGGAGGGGTCACTGTGTGACCCCAGACAAGACACTTACACTCTTGGTGTCTTGATCTTGTTGGTAAAAGGAAGGAACTCCCCTGTCCTTTCAGGGCTGTAGTCACTGTGAGAAGGAGCTCTGTAGCGTCATTTTGTCAGAGGAAGTGTGGGGGGGCGCTAGAGCGCGAGGGTCTTGTGAGATCCTGGCTTTTCTTTCCATAAATTCCAAGTGGGCCACACACAGCCTCAGCCCTGGTTTGGGAACCCTGGAATGGGTGTGCAGTGGGTGCCTTCCAGCCTGGGGAAGATTCCTCCGGGAACAATGGGGCAGGCGTGCGACCCTCCCAGACTGCAGGAGGAGGAAATAAAATGGAACATTTAACTTCAAAGCCCCGGAGCCTGCCAGAGCTCTCTAATCTGACAATGAACAGGAAGGAGACTGTGACTGGACAGTAAAAAACGTGACCAGACAAGCCTGCCTGGGCGACCCTCCAGCCGGGGAGACCCTAACTGCCAGCGGGGTGGGGGTGGGGCTGCTTTCCTTGGGTCACCCGGACATCACAAAGTCATCTTGCATGTGGAGACCCACAATCAAAAAAGCTAAGGGTTCGAGAAGCAGTTGTTCAGCTGAGGGAACCGAGCCTGGCTGGAATAGAGGAAGAGGCTGGGAAATCTATTAGGTTTATTATTAGTAGTAGTATTGTTCTTACGCAAGTATCACTCCCCTTGTAACATTATTACAACACTAAATGTCGTTAAGATCTCGAGCCCCGGTATCCTGAGCTGTGTGTGCCCATGGACGGCAGGGGCAAGGCAGAGTTGGAGGTGCTGTAATCAGCCAGCCAGGATCTGGCAGGGGCTCGGGCCAAGTGGAGGAGGTGCAGACAGGGGCTGGGTAGTAATCTGAGCTGGAAGGACCTACAGATGGGCTAGCTTTACAGACCAGAGAGAAGGAGGGCAGTGAGGGTGGCAGAGCTCCACGCCACCTCCAAGGACGGGCTGATGTGTCATCCAGGCTGTTCTTCCCCACCCTCCACTGCTCCACGCTGCCCACCCTGCTTTCTCCCAGCCCAGCAGGTAAAGCTAAGGCTCTCAGTGTAAGACTGGTCGGCTCAGACTTGGATCTTGGCTTTGATTCTTTCCCATTGATGATCTTGGGCAAGTTAGTTAACCTCAGCTTCCTTGTTTACAAAATGCTGATGAGGGCAGAGGATTTGGCTCAGTGGTTCTGCCGCCTGCTTGCCTGACAAACTCAAGGTCCCAAGTTCGATCGCAGGTAAGAACAATAACAACAAAAAAAAAACCCAAAACAACAACAAAAAAATGCTGATGATGGTCATACCCTCTTGGTGGGATTATGTGAAGATCAAGTTATAATAATGCTGGGTGTGTACAGGGTGCTGAATAAGTTTGAGACAAAATTATTGTGGAATCATCAAATTAGTATCATATGTGTACATAATTTTGTCTTGTAAGCCTCAAATTATCTCATTGGCATTTTTCACAAGATGCCTAAAGAAATCTTTCAAAAAATCTTTTTACTGGCTACACAATACTCTGTTATACAGATAATTTAATAAGCCATTATTATTGAATATTTATTATTATTATTATTATTATTGTTATTATTATTATTATTTTGTGTGTGGGTACCAGGGATTGAACTCTGGACCTTGCACTTGTAAGGCAGGCACCAGAACCACTGAGCTAAATCCCCAGCCCACTGTTGAATATTTTTTAATATAACTAAAAGCTCTTGATGTTTTTTGGTTTTTCTGTGGGTCTGGAGTTCATGGGCACTCAGATGGGAACTATCCCATCAGTTCTTTGGGGTCTCCACCTCGCCTACTCTAATTTTGGGACTTGTCAGCTTCTGTAGACATGTGAACTCTTTCCTTTTCTTTTCTTGGTACTGGGGATCGAACTTGGGTGCTTGGGCTTGCAAGACAGGCGGCAGAACCGCTGAGCTAAATCCCTGGCATAAACCCTATTCTTATAAGTAGTCACTCAAACAATTTCTTGTTTGACTCTGAGTGCAGAGAACTTCGATTTATTCAACAGGCATGAACAGCTTTAAGATTTCAGAAACATGCTGAGGATTTAGTCAGTGGTGCCGCCTGCCTTGCAAGCGCAAGGTTCTGGGTTTAATCCCTGGTACAAAAAAAAAAAAAGATTTCAAACTGACTTCCAGAAAGTCTGTACCAAACATATCACACCAACAACCATACTAGGAAGTTGAACCTTCACCAACACTAAGTTGGCCTTTACAAATACACATATTTTCACAATTTCCCTCCAACTGATTATGAAATTAAATACTTTTTTTTTTTTTGGTACTGAAAATCTAACTCGGGCCCTTGCACTTGCAAGGCTGCCAGTGGAACCATTGAGCCAAATCTCCTGTCCCACATTGTTTTTGTTAATGAATGAATGGATTTTTTTTTCCCCCTTGGTACTGGAGATTAAATCCAGGGCCTTCACACTGAGCTACATCTCTTGCCTTATTTATTTATTTATTGGTACCAGGTATTGAACTCTGGACCTTGTGCTCACGAGGCAGGCAGTGGAACTACTGAACTAAATCCCTGGCCCTTCCTTGCCCTTTAAAATTTTTTTGATTTTGAGACAGTGTCTCCCTAAACTGCCCAGGGTGGGCTTGAATTTATGACCTTCCTTCACATCTCAACCTCCCAGAGCCCTGGGCCCACAAGTCTGTTTTGCCACTCCCGGCTTTGTTCAGATTTCTTTGCCCTCCAGCAAGATTGGATTTCGTTTGTATTTTTCCAGTGCTAGGGATTAAAGCTAGGACCTCATGTATGGTAGGTAAGCACTCTACCACTAAGCTGAATCTCCAGCCCCCTTTTCCCTCTATTTATTAATTAATTTTATTTATTTATTTTTGAGACAGGGTCTCACTATGTAGCCCAGGCTGGCCTTAACCTCACTGTATAGCATAGGTTGGTCTCCAACTCAAGGTGATCCCCTCCTGCCTCAGCCTCCCAAATGCTGGAATTATAGGTGTATGCCAATGCCTCCGGCTTTTTTTTGAACTTTATTTTGAGACAGTGTCTCATTCAGTTGTCCAGTCTGGACTCGAACTTGAAGTCTTGCTGCTTCAGCCTCCTGAGTAGCTGGGATTACAGGCATGTGCCACGGTTACAGTTGAAAGGCCCAAGAATAGTCCAAGTTCTTATTCAAGGGAAGAATTGCCAAGCATATGGTACGTGGTAAGTAGCTGCATTTATTGATGATGTTAGGAGCAGCAGGAACGGGCAGAAGGGCAAATGGAAAAAGGAGGACGAACAGGAACCTGAGGTTGTAGGTGAAGCTGCTGGTGGTGGTGGTGAAGTTCTGGCCAAGGAGCTGGTGGTGTGCAAGAGGGTGTGCTGGGGGCTGGTGAGTCTGCTCGCAGGCTCCAAGCTGTGCTGGCCCCAGGGTGGAAGAGGAAGTGGGGGTTAGTGTAGGCTTCCAGGGTTTAAAGGCTCAGACACCCACTCCATCTCTCACGGGTGACCACTACGGTGTTCGAAGTATGCTACCACCACATCCCACTAAGCCTCCAGTTTTAAAAATGCAAATATCTATAATTTATATTTCTTCTTCTACAAACAGTCCTTCACACATTTTTCTATTGCCGTATGACAGTTTTGCCAAAGAAAGAATTATGTTTTTTGTTTTTTGGAGGAGGGATCCAACTTGGCACCTTGTGCTTGTGAGGTGAGGGCTGGGAGGAGCAACAGTGAGCTAAACCCCAGCCCTGACGGGAGAATTATTTATTGAAACTAACAAGTAGGCTGGGGATTTAGCTCAGTGGTGCTGCTGCCTGCCTTGCAAGAGCAAGGTCCAGAGCTCAATCCCCAGTACTGGAAAAAAAAAAAAAAAAAAAGAAAAAAAAGAAACTAACAAGCTTTGCTCTGTTGAATTTGTTTCACCTTCTCTTGTTGCCTTTACATTTCATGGTGGATTTTTAGGACCTCCAGGCCATTAGTAGCCTCTGAGTTTCCTGTTTGAGGGTCTACATTTCCAAAGCACATTAGGGTGAGAGAGACAGAGTGTGTGTGTATGTGTGTGTGTGTGTGTGTGTGTGTGTGTGCATGGCACCCAGGTGCCAAGCCTGCCTCTGCCCTCCCTTGTCATGTGGCCTTGGGCGTGTGACATCTCCCCTCAGATCGCAGCTTCCCCATCTGTCAGTGAGGGCAGAGGTGAGGGTCTGAGCTTCCTCCCAGCCCTGGCATTCTGTGCTTCTAGTCCAGGAGCTAGACAGCTGTCTTCTCACGGCCTGTCCATCTAGGGTGGCTGCAGGCCCCGGATTTAACAGCACTGCTGACTTGGCTTTCCTAAAGGGCTGCTCTGCGCGTGGCACCCACAGGGCCCAGGACCAGACTCCAGCCTATCAGCAGCTCCCTGCTGTTCCAGTCTTCTGTCCCACTGCTCCCTGTCAAAATGAATATTGTGGATTCTTAGATATTTTTGCTCAGGCCATTGCTTTTGCTGGGGATGTTTCCACACCCTGCATGTTATGTAGAAAAATCTGCCTAACTTCTAAATCTTCTGCATGTAAATCTGCCTAACTTCTAACTCTTCGGCATGAAGCCCTCTGTTTCCTGGTCCCAAAGAATTTCTCTCTCTCTCTCTCTCTCTCTCTCTCTCTCTTTTGTTTTTTGTTTTATACCGGGGATCGAACTCTATTTCTCACATGTTGTGGTTATTATGGGTGGTGATATTTTCATCTTATTTAATGAACAGAAATGTACAAATCTGAGGCAGTATGAAGGACTACTAAATGAAGCGGTGCAACCTGGCAGCCAGTACTATGTTTTCAGATCCTGATTTCCATCTTCTTTCAAAGACTCAAAAGACCTATCTTATATTCTGGGAACTGAACCCAGGGTTTTTGAGCTGAGTTACATCCTCAGCCCCTTTTTATTTATGAGATAGAGTCTCATCACACTTAGTTTGTCTTACATTCTTAAAACTAAGGAACAGCTAACTGGGTATGGTGGCACGTGCGTGTAATCCCGGTACTCCCTGTAATCCCAGTACTCAGAAGGCTGAGGTGGGAGGATTACCAGGAGTTCGAGGCCAGCTGGGCTGCATAGTGAGTTCAAGACCAGGATGAACTACATAATAAGACGCTATCTCACAAAACTAAACAAAAAAAAAGAAAGAAAAACTAAGGGTCAGCAAACTACAGCCCTTGGGCAAATCTGACCAGGCCCCTGTTTATGCAAATTAAGTTGTTGTACTGCAAAACTGTCCTGTGCATCTGTTTGTGTGTTCTCAGTGGCTGCCTGGCTGCCACAGTAGCAGACATGAATCATTGCAAAGGGGACTGTGTTGTGTGGAAAGCCATCTATCACGTAGCCCTTTACATAAAAGGCTTGTAGGCTGCTATGAAGTATGGAGAGGTGCCTTTTCCATGGAGCTGGCTCTGGTATCTGCCCAGCAAGCCCATCTCAAATCTGGCCAGGTGCAAGTATTTATCTTGTGCTTTAAGGTCCTTCAACCATTTGAGTGTTTTGCTCCTATTAATCTCCGAAATCACACCCTAATACAACATGAAAGCTGTTATGCCAGGTAAGCAAAGCATTCTCTTCAAAATATCCAGAAACATTCTACCGCTAACACTAAACTTTGATGACCAAGCTTAATAATATTCCTTAGTTCAAGTGCAAGGTCCTGAGTTCAATCCCCAGTACCAACAAAAGAAAACAAAAGAATATTTCTTAGTAATGGAAGCTACTGACTGTGCAGGTACAAAGAAAGAAGCCCTGGATTTGGATTCCAGCTGTGCCACTTCTGTGAGTGTGGTCACCCAAGAAAGCAAGGCTGAGTCTGTTGCGTCATCTAAAACAGAGGATAATGACAGTACCTGCCTTTGGGTTGGTGAAAGGATTAAGTCCTCTCATATTTATTGGCCCTACGCCGTGTCAGGCACTGTGGTGGGCTCCCGGGATCCATCAGAGAACAGAACCAGCATCAAGTCTGCCGATGTGGAGCTTACACTGCAGTGGGGGAATGAACGGACCAAGCAGCAGATGCTGCAGGCACCTGTACAACAGCTGGCTCACGTCCAGGCTCAGCCACAGCTGCGGGCAGGTTCCGAGCCCTTCTGGGTGCGGAACCTTCCCTGATGCAGCTGGAACTAGCTTGGCCCTCGGGTAAGACAACGCAGAGTTCCAAGGTGTCACCCAACCACTGATGGATGGGAACTGGTGAGTCTCCAAGGATCTCCGAGACCCTGGTGGGACACAGCTCCCAGGGCATAGAAGTGAGACTGCTACCTTTTTTTTTTTCCTTGACTTCGCACTTCACCTGTCTCGTTTTCCTTGCTTTCTGGTCACATCTTCCAAATAACACTATCTGCATCCAAATCTTTGCCTCAGTCTCTGCTTTGGGGGGGAATCCAAAATAAAACCAATTTATAAATAAGCAAAAAGAGAGTAGTTAAGTGCCATGCAGAGAATTAAAATAACTGTGAACAAAGTGAGTGATCAAAGGTCCTGCGACCCTGGGCCAAGGAAGACCTCCGTGGACACTTGAGTGACAGGAAGGATCCAGCCATGTGCAAGGAGCGGAAAGCACAACCCACACAGAGAGAACAGCTGCTGGTGCGGAGCTGGGAGCAGAACGGAGCTGGGCACATCAAAGGAGAGGAAGGGTGGCGGGTTTAGTGGGTGAAAAACATAAGTTGGAGAGGGAGGCCAGATTGTGAGGGACTCTGTTGTAATCTGTGCGTCATGATTTGAGACTTCATTCCAAATGCCATGGATAAAAAGTCACTGGAGAGTTTTAAGCAAAGCAGCAGCACGGATTGAGCAGCAGTTTCCAAATATGTCCCTGGTTGCAGCATAAGAATGGGTTGGAGGGGAGCACAAGCAGGATGCCTGTGAAGGAGTCCGCAGTAGGACTCTGGAAAGCGCGGATGGTGGCTTGGACTCTTGTCATAACGTGGATGGAGAGGAGCCGCAGATGTGGAATATGCTTTGCAAAGACCAGTGGCAAACCCAACTAGGTCATAAATATGCAGGCAGTCTTCTAGCATAAAGATAAATTAGATCACTGAATGCTCCTCCAAGTCCCCTGGAGGTGGGTACTCTTCCTAGCCTCATTTTACAGGTGGGGAAACCAAGGCCCGGAAAGATTGAATAACGTACCTGAGGTCACCCAGAGCAGAGACGTGAGCCAAGACCAGGTGGCTCTGCAGCCTGGGCACTAACCACTACATCCTCTTGTCTCTCCAGAGCTCACTCAATTGCTGAGGGATCCGAAGGAAGGGCCAGGACAGGAGGGAGCTGAACTGGATTCCCCGAGTGCCAGGTGCTCAGGGAAATTTATGGGAGGCCATTGTTTCGCACTAAGCAGTGGGCCCCAGCAGACCAGAGCCAACCAGAATGGACTCATTTGCGTGAGGTGCACGTCATTAAACTCAGCTTGGACTCGGGCTTCCCCAACAGGAGATTCGCAGCATTCAACACAAAGGGACCCAACATGAATGTGCACAAGCCTACGAGGAAAGTAACTGAGAAAAGACTTTTCCTTTCGCTGTGTCTGTTTTGTTTAGCCACCTCCCTGTAAACCCCACCCCTTGGCTTACTTGTTTTGTGCATGGCCTGTCATCTGATTCAGGAATCGCGAATAGCAGCCAATTTGAGAGTAGAGAGCGGGTTGGCTTTTGTCCTGCAACACAGGTGTTGTAGTTAAGACTCTCCCTTCTCTGGCCTGCCCATCAGCACTGTGATGTCCAGGTGTACGTGGCCACCACAGAATTTCCCAGGTGATTTCCACTTGTGGCCAGGTGGAGAAGCGCCGGGTACACAGCCCGGCTGTCCCTCAGAGGTCAGCTTCCGGGCAGCTGTGCAGCCGGGTGTATTTGCTCCTCGCTGCCTGAGCCTGTGGGTCTGGAGGTGTCTGGGCTCCTCCTTGTCCCCCCTTGTCGCCATCCTTCCTTTGTACCACACAACTGCAAGGGCGTAAAGCGCTACACAGCCTTGGGAACCATAGATGGAAGCACAGCGGGCCTTTTCGCTCTTCTTTTCAGGGGTTCTCAAATGTGTTCTCTGGACCCTCAGCACCCTCAGCACCCTCAGCACCATCGTGGTGGGGGCCTCGAGAGCCCTCATTCTCAGGGCCCAGCTCAGCCCCTCGAACCAGAAGCTCCAGGCTGGACCCATCCTCTGCTTTCGCAGAATCGCTGCCTAGTCCATTTCCTCTTTTGCTCTTGTTTTTGTGTTACCGGGGATCGAACTCAGCCCTTATGCTCGCAAGGGGGCTGTGGAACCACTGAGCCAAATCCCCGGCCTCCTCTTTTTGCTCTTAGACTGCTATTTGATAGCGTCCATTCTTCGTGCAGACATTCAGTACTCCCCACCCTGCCTCGCACTCGGCCCCTCCTTGTACACCACGAACACAAGAGAAATTGAAGCAGAGGCCCTTTCCCAAGCTCCTCCACGGTGCCTGGGGCTCCTCTGCCTCGCACCTTTGCTAGCACTCTCTATGCTCCTGTGCTATGTTTACAATTTTATAGTTTTTATTAGTACGTATTTGTCACACGTATCGATCACATTCATCCTAAGGAATTTGTACCCGTACATAATATATCTCGATTCTTCTTTTTTGCCCCAATCCCCTCCTCTCCCTTCGGTCTTCCCCCCATTTATAAAAGCTTTGTTTCCATTTTTTTCCTTCCATTCTCTTTTTTTCCTTTTCAGTCCCCCGCCCTTATTGTCCCTCCCGTTTCAACAAGTTCTTCTTGCTTCCCGATATCTTTCCTCCATTACGATCCTTGTTTACCCTTTGGGTTTCTGACACAGGAGAAACAATGTGATATTTAAATTTGTTCACCTGCTGAGCGTGTTGGCACGTGTGTGCAATATCAGCAGTCAGGAGGCTAACGCAGGAGGATTGTTACGAGTTGGAGGCCAGCCTGGGATACATAGTTCAAGGTCAGCCTGGACTATACAGTGAGACCCTGTCCCAAAGAAAACCCAAAAACCAAAACCAAAACAAAACAAAAACAACCACCACCACAGCGAAACACACACACACACACACACACACAAAACAAAAACCAAAAAAAGGACTTGTATGTCTGATTTATTTGACTTAAGATTATGGTCTCAAGGTGCACTCCTTTGAAGGACCTGAGGTGAGAACCGCAGTCTACAGGGAGAGCGAAGAGAAAGACTTTAATGAAGAGGAGGGAGGTACCAAGCCCTGCTCTCTCCCAGAGTCCAGACTCTCTGTGAGGGAATGACGGCCGAACCTGCAGACGCACAGTGGCTGCTGAGGACCCCAGAGGCCTCCCCAGAGAAACGCACCAGTGGAATGGAGCAGTGGATGAACCAGACTGCAGCAGCCGGTGAGTTATCCAGGTTCAGACCTCATCCAGAAGAGGGTGGTTGGCTGGTAGACATCTTGGGGGGGCAACTGACTTGGAATTCTGAACAGCTGTGAGCAGACTCCATGTAGTGGCTTCCAGAGCCTCAGTGTCAGGGAGCAGAGTTCGAGCCGGCAGGAGACACCTACGCTATTGTAGGCTCAAGGAATCTGGTTCCAGACTCATAGCCAGGAACTTGCCTGAACTTCAGAGGAACTGAAGGAGCAGGCTGGCTGGGATTATCCACTGCCCCCGTGTGAAGCTGCGTCTGGCTTGCTGGAATTAGGCAATTCGGCTCTGGTCTATTTGCCCACAGTGCCTACCAGTGACAGCAGAGACACACCTCAGATTGGACATTTGGGGTTTTTTAAATCTTTCTTCTTTCTTTTTTCCTCCTTTTTAGTTCTTGTTTTGTTTTTTCTTCATTGTTGGAACACAGTTTCTAGTTTGTTGTTGTTCTGTTCTGTTCTTGTTTTTATGTTTTCCTTTTCTCTTTCCCACCTGTCTTCACCAGTTTCCTAAAGTTTGTCCTCCAGTCTTGCTTCTGATCTCTTCCTCTTCTTCTGTTTCTGATTCTGTTTTTTTTTTTAATCCCCTAGCCCCTTTAAGTCTTCTCCCCTAAGGGTAAAAATGTCATATTAAGGGCTACAATTTGTCATTTTCCAGGCTGTATTGCATGCTATTGCTGCTGTTGATTATACTGCTTTAACCAAGGTGACATAACTGTGGTCATTAGTTGTTCCTCCTGGTCTAGAAGTTGATGTTAGAAAGCAAATGCACTTTGCAGAGTCCTTCTGCTGATTGAACTTCAGTTTTGCCGGCAACGTTTTTCCTGAGCGATTTTCCCCACTGAAATAAATGGAGGGGAGGACAAAACATGCAGTCACGCCTCAGAGCAATCAGCTGCACCTGCTGGTTTACCAGTTTACTCCACTTCTGATGGGAAGCCAAGGGGTATTCCTGCTTGTTTGTAGCTCTCTGCATGGCAGAGTAAAAAGCACATTTCTTCAACACTGAGATTGCCTAAGAGTTAAACAAACAAATAAACAAACCTATAGGCCAGTGCCAAAGAACTGGCAGCTGGGCAAAGTGGGCAGGATCTTCTCATCCCCAATAAACTGAAGAGTGGGATCCTGCAGCAGACTCATCTGTTGATGGGCATCTGGGCTGTTTCCAAGATTTAGCTGTTAGAAATTGTGCTGCTATAAACATGTGTATGCATGTAGCCCTGTGGTAGGATGCTTTTAACTCTTGAGAAGATACCTAGGAAAGCAACAGCTGGGTAAAATGGCACCTCTAATTTTAGTATTTCGAGGAATCTCCATACTAATTTCCACAGTGGTTGTACCAGTTTACACTCCCACCAGCAGTGGAGAAGGGTTCCTTTTTGCCCACAGCCCCACCAATGTTTCTTATTAGTTCCTCTCTCCCTCTCCCTCCTTCGTGTCTCACTCTCTCTCTCTCTCTCTCTCTCTCTCTTCAATATGAGGGATTGAATTCAGGACCTTATGCTTTTGAGGCAGGCACAGTGCCACTGAGCTAAATCCCTGGCTACTGGTTTATTTCTTGATGAGAGCCATTCTTTCTGGAGTGAAATGGAATCTCAGTGTTGTTTTAATTTGTGTTTCTTGAATGACCAGTGATGTTGAGCATTTTTTCATATATTTATTTGCTGTTTGTCCATCTGACAAGTGTCTATTCATTTCAGATGACCATTTTTGGGTTGAATCTTTAAATTTGGGAGTCTGATTTTTTGGAGTTCTTTATATATTCTAGATGTTAGTCCTTTGTCTGAGGAGTGACTATAACAAAATTTTCCCACTCTGTGTGTTGTCTTTTTGCTCTGTTTCTGTTTTCCTTTGCTGTGCAAACGCTTTCTAATTTGATGTGATCCCAGTTGTTGATTCTTTGTAATATTTCCTATGCGACTGGGGTTTTCTTCTTAGTCTTTGCCTACACCTATGTCTTCTAGAATTGTTCCTATTCTATCTTCCAGGAGATTTAGTGTTTTTGTTTTAATATTTATTTATTTATTTTGAGGCAGGGTCTCACTGTGTAATTGCGACTGCCCTGGTACTCACTATGTAGCCCAGGCTGGTCTCAAACTCCCAGTGATCCTCCTGCCTCAGCCTCCTGAGTACTGGGATTACAGGTGTGTGCCACCACGCCTGGCTTTGTTTTAATATTTAGCTCTTTGATCTATTTCTATTTTAGTTTAGTGCATGGTGAGAGATAGGGATCAATTTTCAGCATGTGGAAAGCCAGTTTTCCCAGGCCCATTTATTAAAGAGACTGTCTTTCTTCCAGTGAAGGTGGTTGGCCCTTTGTCAAAGATAAGGTAGCTGAATGTACTTGGAGTTGCTTCTGTATCTTTTATTCTGTTTTACTGATCCTCACGTCTTTTTTTTTTTTTTTTGCCAGTACCATGCTGTATTTATCACAGTAACTTTGTAGTATAACTTCAAACAGAGGATTGTGATGCTCCCTGCCTTACCCTTGTTGTCCAAAATTGCTTTTGCTATTCTAGGACTCTTCTGATTCTGTCTGAACTTTAGGACGGTGTTTTTCTAATTCTGTGAGGTGTGCTATTGGTATTTTCATTGGAATTACATTAAATCTGTGTAATAGTTTTGGAAGTATGGCCATTTTCACTACATTGGCTTGCCTATCCAAGAACACAGGATATTGTTCCATTTTCTCATATCGTCTTCGATCTCCTTTTTCAGAGTACTCTAGTTTTCAACGTAAACATCTCTCATTTCCTTTGTTGGATTGATTTTTAAGTACTTCATTTTTCTAGATGCTATTGTGAAAGGTGTTGTTTCCGTAGTTTCTCTGTCAGTGAATTTGTGTACAGGAAGGCTATTGATTTTTTGGGGGGGTTTTTTGGTATCAGGGATCAAACTCAGGACCTTGCACTTTCGAGGCAGGTGGTGGAACCACTGAGCAAAATCCCCAGCCTGATTCTTGAGTGATGACTTTGCATCTTGCTATGCTGCCAAATTTGATTATTAATTCTAACATTTTTTCAGTGGAGTTTTTGGAGTGTTCTATGTAGAGTATCATGTCACCTGAAAATGATGTGATTTCACCTCTTCCTTTCCTCTCCAGTCATTTGTTTCTTTCTCTTGTCTAATTACTCAGGCTAATGTTTCCAGAACTATACTGAACAGCAGTGGTGATAGTGGGTATCCTTGTCCTGTTTCTGATTTTAAAATGAAGGCTTTCATCATACATTTAGTATGATGTTGGGTGTTGGTTTGTCCCCGATGGCTTTTATCAGATTGAGGTAAAAGACCAT